GGGAAGTGGTTTTCACTGCGGTGCTCGGTCTCTCTTGGATTTGTGCCCATTCTCTGTGAAGCACGCTGCTTATGAGTCATGTATTTGGGTGCTGAGGACTGAAACTCAATTTTCTGTTCCAGAACCAGAAAACTGGCAGAGCCAGGCCTGTGGCCTCTGTGCGTGGGAAGGGCCTCCATGGCTGGCGCTCCCCTGTCCTGCTGGGAGCTGCCAGGGCCTTGACTTCCTGTGCTCCTGAAGAAGAGGAGGCAGGCAAGGGGAGAGGCGGGTCCTAGGTTTAGTTTCTACATCCAGCCAGGCCCCAGGCCTTCCTTGCCCCCTCTCGGCTTGAGGCTCACAGCCCTTCCAAACACACCGCAGGCGGGCGAGATCACCCGAGCTCACAGCGTCTCCTCCTATGACCTTGAAAGAGCATGAAGATTTTCCAGTCTGTTTCTTCCCTTTATAATATCCATGGGGGTGGGTGGGGGCGGGGAAGGCTCTGACAAGGAGAAGAGATGTCAGGCCCGCATTCATTTACGTCTCTACTGAGGCACCTGCCATTGCCAAGTGTCATTTAGGCACTGTGTTATGTTCATATGTTCTTTTTGTTTTATTTACTGATATTTTTATTTAAGAGTCTTTTATTTAAGAGTCTCACAATACTAGGGAAGTCTATATCACTGAACCACACCCCAGCCCAGACTGTTTCTTTTTTTGCAGGGGGGTGGTTTGAAACAGAGTTTCTCTGTGTAACCATGATTGTCCTGGGACTCACTCTAGATCAGGCTGGCCTCAAACTGGCCTTGAACTCAGAAATCCACCTGCCTCTGCCTCTTGAGGGCTAGGGTTAAAAAGCATGTGCCATCACTGATAGGGCCTGTCTAACCTGTTTCTGAAAAGTATTTGTAATGGTTAATGTAATTAAAATTTAAAAGGAAAGAGAAAAATCAGCTCAGTGCCTCATCTGAGTTACAAAGAGGACATCCTGGGTTCTCAGCCCTGTCTCCTCCATCCCTGAAGAATGAGAGAGAGAAGGAGAAGGAGAGGGAGGGATGGAGAGAGAGATTTCAGATATAGAAGCTCACTATTGTCTCTGTGTGGCCCAGGCTTACTTTGAACTCACCATCCTCATGCTTCAGACTTCAAAGTGATTGGATTACAGATGTGAAGCTATGTATCTGTCTGTCTATCTATCATCATCTGTCTATCTATTTATCTATCATCTGTCTATCACTACTACTATCACCACCTATCATCTCTTTATCATCTATCATCTATCAATCATCTGTCTGTCTATATGTCTATCATCTATCTATCATCTATAATCTATCTATCTAGGAAGGCAAAAATCAGTGGTGACTAAATGTTCAAATGCTTTTCTCCTCAGAGTAGTGAGAATAGAGAGCCACCCCTGGTAGGGCGGAAGTGTCTCTCATAACCCTGGATTAACGGGTGGTGTCTGAGAGAAAGATGTAGGCAGCCAGGCAAGCAGAACCCCTCCTTCTGGGAGAAGTAGCCAAAAGCACTAGAAAAATCCCTTCTCCATCCTGGGTCAATGAATGAGTGTGGTGGGCAGCAAATGCTTTTATGAGGCACCCAACACTGAGGGTTGACCCTCGCAGAAGCCTGGTGTGGCAGGTGCTGCCATCCACCATTTCCATCAAACTGCCGTGACAGTGAGACAGAGACACTGAGAGACGGGAAACGGGGTCAGGCCCTGGGCTTCCTGGGGCTTTGGAGGCCGGGAGCTCACTCTCCCACCACCCTGCTCTGGTGCCAGCATCGGCTTCCCCACACGCGCTGAGGTCCTGGGCAAGCCACTTCATCCGGCTTCCGTTTCCCGTGTGAAGACTACAAGGTTGAGGAACTAGATAGGAAAGCCATCCTGTAGGCTGGAAAATAACAGGTGCCAGCCTAAACTGTGTGTCCCAAATGACGAGAGTTCATTCCCAGAAGGCCAGAGCCTAGCCACCCGGGGGCACCCCGTAGTGGGGCCTCAAGACTCTTGGAGTTGAGGCAGATTCCCCTTCCTGGCTGGGAAGTTCAGCTTCTGTGGAAGAAGGGCTCACGGAGCCCTTGACTGAGGGAGGGTTGGCAGTGACAGCCTGAGGACACTCATACTCTAGTGAACAGTTTTATTCATTTATGTTTTAGAATCTCCAGCTGGCTGTGATCCCATCAGTAGAACTGCTTCCCATGAACCCCTGAGGCTGCTCAAATGTGTGTTCTGACTTAGTGTGTCTGGAGTGGGTGGGCCTGAGTGCTGTGTTTCCATGGTGCCTCACATTGCTCACATTGCAAGACTGCTGACTACAGCCCTGAGGTGTCTCAGGTGAGCGGGATTAGAGAGCCTCCTGCAGGTGAGCGGGATTAGAGAGCCTCCTGCAGGTGAGCGGGATTAGAGAGCCTCCTGCAGGTGAGCGGGATTAGAGAGCCTCCTGGGAGGCAGGAAGTTCAGGAGAGTCTGGGGCAGCTAGAACCCTGGTCATGCTGTCAGGGCGATGGAGAAGAAAGGGATGCTTTGGCTGTGTGAACTAAAACTAGGCGAGGGCCAGCGCTGAGGCCTCTCCTTGGACCAACTATACCAGGCCCTCCTGTTTCATAGGAGTGGAAACAGGCCCAGAGACGTTCAGTGATTTGGCCCATCTCACACAGCTGCTCAGGGTACTGCTGAGGCCCAGCTCCAACCTTCTGACTCCATGCAACTCCCCACCTTCTTCAACAGCCACCACAGCTTTTCCCAGCATGCTCCTCTTCCATTTGGCGATCAGGGCATGTTTATTTATAAATTGGCTTGCTTGGAGCCTGAAATTTGGCATCAGTGGTTTTGGCTGTGAGGAGTTTGAATTTTTTCCTGTTTGTTTGGTTTGTTAACCCATGTTTTGTGAGGGAAAAAAGGGGGGGAGTAATAAAACCATGAGGTTGCTGAAGTTGTTCCAATGTGAAGCATCTGGAAATGTGACAGTATCAACTGGCTTTCTAGATAGTAGATTAAAAACTCGTGAAGTTGGCTTTCAAGGATCTACAGGCTCAACAAAAGTCCACTGCACGCTCGGGTTGCTCCCAGATGATTCTGTTGGTACCAGGGTGGGCAGGAGAGTGGGAAGGGACACGTCCTGGGCCAGCAGCGGAGGCTTTTCCTCCACAGCCAGGTCCAGGGCCTGAGCACAGAGATAAGAGAGGGGCAAGCATCTGATCAAGGGTGTGGACTCTAATCATTTATGTCATGCTTTGCACAAGACCAAGGCTGTAAAAGATGGCTTCTTTTTACTCCCCCTAGCCCCGCAAGACAGGGTTTCTTTGTAGTTTTGGAGCCTGTCCTGGAACTTGCTCTGTAGACCAGGTTGGTCTTGAACTCACAGAGATCACCTGCCTCTACCTCCAGAGTGCTGGGATTAAAGGCGTGCACCCCCACCACCCAGCTTCTTTTTACTCTTAACACTGGGAGCTGATACACGAAGCACAGATCTATTGTTTGTAGGGTAGCCAGAGTCCCTGGATCCCAGGTGATAAGTATTTAAAAATATCCCAGTAGTGAGTAACTCCAGTGATGCAATAAGCCAAATCAAGCTGAATTAAAAGTCCAGATTCAATGAGCCAAGCATACCCGGGTGATCCCAGGGGAAGAGGAAAAACCACATGGAAGGTCTATGGGCCAGACCTTAAATACCCTGTAGGGTGGTCTTGAGGAGCTCTGGGGGAGGACCCGCTGCTTGGTGGGTTTTCTGAGGGCAGGGTTTGGAATGGAACCCAGCCAAACATCTAGATGGGGTTTGGAATGGGGCCCACGCTGGAGATTCCCAACATCAGCTCCTTTCAGATATATTGAAATTCCAGTAACTTCTTGGAGAAAGACAGACTATTTTAATTAGTGATATCGATTCTTTTGCTGTGGGTTCTCATGGCCAGGGAGTCTGGGCACAGTCCCTGAGTGCTATTCCATGCCAGCCTGTCCCCGTGGCCAGGAAGGCTCACTCATGCTCATAATAAGACTGGGTCAGCTCAAGGGGTGGACACTCTGCTTCTGGAAGAGTGTCTGGTTAGCAGCTTTTGCCACTGTCCCAAATAAATCATGCTAACTGCTGAGATAGCTCTAGCCTTGTCTAGCATATTGTTATTTGTTTTATTGAGATAGGAACTTATGTAGCCCAGGCTGGCCTCAAACTTGACATGCAGCCAAGGATGGATGGCTGATCCTATTACCACTACTTGTTCAATGTTTTTAGCAATAAGTGTGAGTGAGAGAGAGAGAGAGAGAGAGAGAGAGAGAGAGAGAGAGGAGGAAAGTAGGAGCAAGCCACTAAGCAGCACTCCCCATGGTCTCTGCATCCACTTTTACCTCCAGGTTCCTGCTTAGACTTCCCTTCATAATGGACTCTGAGCCTTTCCAAATTGCTTCTGGTCATGGTTTGTTTGTTTGTTTGTTTGTTTGTTTATTGAGCAGGTTTTCTCTGTGTAACTTTGGAGCCTGTCCTGGAACTCGCTCTGTAGACCAGGCTGTCCTAGAACTCACAGAGTGCCAACTGCCTCTGCATCCCGAGTGCTGGGATTAAAGGCATCCACCACCACCACCACCTGGCTTGGTCATGGTGTTTTTATCACAGAAACAGAAACCTAAGTACAACACCATCTCAGACCCAATGGTCCTTGGTGTTTTGCTGGTTGATCACTGGCAAAGACAGCCAACAGGGCTGGGGATACCCAGGTCACAGACTTGACTGTCTTCTGACGTCTGCAAAGCACTCTACCCTGCTTCGGTGACACGTGCTCAGTTCCCTCCCACAGTCTTCTCTCCTTTGGTTTATGAAGCAGAGCAGACACCAGCGTGCTTCCAGTTCTGCTTGTCACTAGTGTCCTTTCATGGGTCAACTGTGGAGTGGCTGGAATTTTCCGGACGAGGTGTGTCCAGGTGTCTGCAGACAACCTTCCCTCCTCCCACTGACCCACCTGGAGCTCACACTTCTTTCTGGTGCTTCCATGCATGCACAAAAGTCGTGACAGTGGAGGCTGTGACATAGTTATTTGATGATGGTATTTATTTGGAGGAGGGTGAGCTCTAGATTTCCTTTGCCCTCCGGAAGCAGTCCTGCCCATCACAGAGACAGAAATCCCTTAAAACCAGGCTAAGCAGGGTAGGGGCGCAGAAGCTCCCTGCCCCCAAAACTCTCTGCAGAGCTAGAGAGACAGAGGCCGATTTCCAGGTCAAGGTCCCTCCCTCCCATGTCAGGTTTCTCTGCCTACCTTCATGGCAGCTGTCCTTCAACATGATCCAACTGGAACTCGCTGCTGAGGCAGGGGAGTCTCAAGGAAACCTCAGCCACCTGCTTGTTTTTAATGGCTACAAAAGCCCCACCCAGGTCAGCCAGGAAAAATATGAGCCAGGTGAGTTGTTCCTCTTTTTGAAGGAAACCACTGGCATCGACAACAGAACAGGCCAGCGAGTAAAGCGGCCACCAGACACACGGTGGAGTAAGCACTCCACTCATGACTGGCAGCCATGCAAGACCGGCTTGCAAGGTGGAGGCTGAGGGGCAGGCCAGGGTGCAGCCTGGCTGCGGCGTTCCCATGTCGGCCCCCGGCCTCTGCAGAAATGATGAAGCAAAGGACCAAGGCCAGAAAACACAAGTTCCCCAAGGTTCTTTTTCTCTCCTCTCATTTGGTTTGTCTCAAGGGATAAGAGCTCCCGAATGGAGGGGACCCCTTCTTCAGGCTTCCAGAGCCACTGACTCCATAGCTAGGAAGACCAGCCCTTGAGTCTGTTGACCCTAGAATGTAGTAGCCCCAGCAGGGGCTTCAGTGACCAGGCTGTCTCCAGTAGGGACAGGCACTTCAATAGCTGCAGTGTAGACCACTGAGAGACCCCCAAAATGAGCCTCCTCCCATCGGAACAGGGAACTCTGAGGTTAGTGTTCCTTTAAGAAACCCTCATGGTTGCATTACTGTGCCCCTTTTATCTGGGGTGTGAGGACCAAACTATGGTTTTGGCACCATAAACCGCTGTCTTGTCTTCCTGACCCACACACGCACGCACAGCCAGCTCAGAGGAGGGCAGGAAGAATCACTTCTCTTTGCTGTGACTTGCTTTCACGCCGCCCCCAGGTCACGGGCCTGGTGCTCTCAGCACTGCTCGGCCTCCATGAAGCCCTCCTTCTCGTGGCCCGAGGGCTCCACCTCTGTGTAGGTAGAGTGGCTGGGGTGGTTGCGGAACTTCATGACTGGCCAGTGGTGAGGTCGCCTCTGCAGAGACACAGAGGGAAGGTCAGTGAATGCCACCTCCTCATTGGACCCCATCCCTGAGGGCTGGTGCAAGGCTTCCTCTTACAAGGGATCTGCAGGGATGGGGGCTCACTGTGGAGAAACAGCTGGTGGTTGGGGCCGCTCTCTCAACAAGATTCCTCAAGTAAACTGTCAGCCACTAGAAACCCAACATAAGGCCTGGATGGCCCAGAACTCTCTATGTAGACCAGGCTGGCCTTGAACTTGCAGCAATCCTCCTGCTTCTACCTCGAAAGTATTGGGATTCTAGGTGTACACTACCCCACCTGGCATTTTTAGAAGCCGGTTTGGAAGAAGCACATTTTACCCATCACCATTTGGTTTGCAAAACTGATTTAGAGTCTTCAACAGCAGACTGGAGACGCAAGTCTGTAGGAGGTGACGAAGCAGGTCATAGGTGCCTAAATGAACCAGGAGACTGGACATGACAAGATAGCCCAAGACAGCACAGGTCCCACAGCAGAGTCAGTGGGAAACTTACTCAAATGCAGATTCCTTATCCTACCCTGACTCCAATCATCGAAGTGGCCTGAGGACCGATAGTCCTTGGTGATACCCAGGTAGGCTAAGAATCAGAACATGGGGCTCAGAGGTTAAGAGCACTGGCTGCTCTTCCAGAGGTCCTGAATTCAATTCCCACCAACCACATGGTGGTTCACAACCATCTGTAATGAGATCTTCTGGTCTGCAGACATACATGCAGACAGAACACTGTATACATAATAAATAATCTTCAAAAAAGAATTCAGAACAACTGAAAGAACCCTGTTTCATTAAAAAATAAAAAAGCCAAGGGAACCACCTAGGTCTCTGAGAATAAGGTCAGTGGGCTTGCGACCCAGGTAGAGACTGATGTATCAGACGTGCCCTCTGGAATCTTCTCAAATAGCCCTTCTTAATAAGGGCTTTAGAGAAGCTTGCTCTGATGTGCTACCTAAGTGCTGTTGAGTTCACCATCTGCTTGTGACCTACTAGAGGGCAGGACCAGTGTCTCACTCATCTTCACGCCCTGGGAAACCATGGGGTGAGCACCATGTTTCTCTGGAAATGTCTTCAGCAGTGGGATAGGAACCAGATGTCTCTGAGCTCTGTGGCTTCCCATGATATACTACTCTTCCCTCTGAGTTCTGGAACATTGAAACTGTAGCATCCCAGCTAATGCTCCCTGAGAGCACAGCCCTTGTTAGCATTTTGGCTTGTCAGCTGTCACCTAAAAATCCCACAGAAGCAGTGAAATATGGTGGCTGCTTGGTGACTCGGAACAAGAAATCGCCCCAGCCACTAATGGGGCACTCTGTGGCATTTCTGACCACTAATGGAGCACTCTGTGGTATTTCTGACCACCCTCCTCTGGGTTTCTTTCCCTGGCCTCATAAGTGGGGAAGGAGACAGACCACGTCCCAGCACCTAGGTGCTGGGTCCTGGGGCTTCAAGAGCACCAGCCACGGAAGACGTGATGGAGTGGAGGAAAGGCTCTCAGGGAGGTGAGGGATGGATGGGAGGGGATGGGGCGAGGCAGGTTCTACATGACCAGGGAGACACTGATGTGGAAGCCGTTCTGAGGCAGATGCAGGCAGATCCCACACCAACCTCGATGAAGAAGAGTGCAGCATTGGAGTTAGGGTGGCCGCTGATGTAAATCCCAGCCAGGATGATGGCCGCTACCAGGAGCACAGCCAGCACGATGCCCACGATGGTGCCCAGGTGCACGGGAGGCCCCTTGGTCTTTGGGGACAAGTTGTCTTGAAGTCCTATGGAGGACAGAGAAAAATTTCATGGAGCAAAGAAAAGCTAGGCCTCCAAGCCTTGTGTTCTGACAAGATCCCAGAGATGAACATCCACATCTCAAACCCACAGAGGGGTGTGGCTGGAGTCGGTGGGATGATAATTACAACATGAATGCTCTGGCACCTTGAAGGTGTTTTCTAGAATCATTTAGAAGTTGATCTTAAGACGTAAAAGGAAGCTGTCTCAGACACCTGGGCCACATCAGCACTTCTGAGGAATCCACAAAAGGCATGCGATAGTTAGGACTTTGGGGTTTTGGAGGTAACGAAAAGGCTCAGTGGGCCGCCAAGTGTTATAACTTAAATTCGATCCCTGGGCACCATGGGTGTAAAGGACAGAGCTGACTCCTGTGAATTGTCCCCTGACTTCCACAGGGAGGGTAGCAGGTTTTCACAGATTCTCCACACACAAAATAAATGTAATTAAAAAATTTGGCATCACCCTGTCTCGTAAAACCAAAAAAAAAAAAAAATTGGCATCTTAGTTCTGAGTGTGATCTTGAAGGCCTGTAATCTTAGCACTTGGGAGAAGGCAGGAGGGTCAAGAGTTCAAGGTCACATCCTCACCAACACAGTGAGTTTGAACCTAGCCTGGGTTACCTGAGACCTTGCCTCAGAAAATCTGGGGATGTCAGTTGTGGTGGCAAACACCTTTAATCTCAGCATTTGCGAGGCAGAGGCAGGTGGACCTCTGTGATTTTTCAGTCAGTCTGTTCTACAGAGTGAGTGCCAGGACAGTCAGAGCTACACAGAGAAACCCTGTCTCAAAAAAGCCAAAACCAAAACAAAGCATAGCAAAACCAAAAAACCTCGCAAACCTATACTCTGCCACTTATTAGATATGTGACTTTGGGCAAATCAACCTCTGTGAGCCTCTGTTATCACCTTTGTAGGACAAGGACAATAGCTCTCTAGCTGGGTTACTGTGCTATGGACAAATGGCAGAGCTCATGCTGAGCCCTGAGAATTTCAGCCAGCATCTGGGAAGTCCTGAGCTAGTATTAATTGTTCTGATAGCAAACAACCATAGTTATCCTTGTTTCTGTCTCTTGCCAGATTGAGTCCTGCTGGACAGTAGGGCCACTATCCAGCTCTTAAAAACAATAGGGTCCACTGTGAAAGGGGCGATCCCATTTCACCTGCATCCAGTGGAATGAACTAGATCCTCTGGAGGCACCTACAAACCACGGCGAGAGAACATCCAAGGCATTTGAAATACATTCCAAGGGTAAGAGGACTCATCCAAGCCCACCCTGTCTTTATGACTAAGGTAATGGAAACAGAGACGTTACGTCATTTGCCTACGGACACACAGTATCAGCTGCTAAGAAACCAGGTTCCCTAACATTACTTGAGTGGGTATTAGCTGCCTCCCTACCTAATGTGCAGCGATGAGCTAAAAACACAGATGTGAGTGTCGGCCATGGGAATGCCCAGTCCTTCTCACACGGCTCTTGGGTGGGAAGGGAGGCCATGGAGTGTGAGGATCTCAATAGGATGTTGACTGCATCGGGATCTTGCTGTCCCCATTTGTCTCTGCTGGGCACTGCGTACACAGAAGGAACCCAGGACAGAAACCGTCCGGCCACTCTCGTGTGTGCTAGGGCCTCCAACGTCCATGAACTGGGAACACTGAAGAACACACCCAGGCTAGCCTCTGCTGATTCGGTGGTTGGCCATCAGCCCCTAGCTTGCTGTGATCTGGGTTGTGGCTCCTCCCCCACCACACACCCAGTCTCTCAAACTCAAGGAGGGGAACAATGGTGTCACCTCCACGGGAGGTATGTCAGACTGCTCCTCTTGCAAGGACTACCCCCAGCCTGGAGCTGCAAAGGCATTCCCATGACCAGAGAACATTTTCCCTGAGGCTGGTAGTGGCCCACCTCCTGGTACCCCTGCAGGCAGGCGGCGGACACAACCTGCATGCTTTTCACATGGGAGAGAAACTGGGTGCTGGAGAAACTGCTGTCCCCACACAGCTGAGGCCCACAGGGAAGCAGGTCCCCCTGTCACAAGTCCTCCTGCCAAGTGGCACTGGTTCAGCCACTTCCTCAAATTCTTCTCAGGGCATAGACACGGGAGGCTCCTGGCTGAGATAGGAGGTGTCCAGCCCTCCCATTCAGCCTGGGACCCCGGCTGCTTTGCTCTCTCCCCTCCCCCACTGCTATGACTCCTCGTGGTGGACACAGCCATTCCTCTGAAGAGGGACAGGCAGCTCCGTACTCACCATCTCCTCCTGCGTGGGGATTCAATTTGGTGTCATCTTCAAAGAGGACAGAAGGAGCAAAATTAGTGGAATCATTCAGACTTCTGCCACCCCGGGTCTGGATGGAACTTGAAGGAGGTTGCCCTTTCCAAACTTTCCATTTGGGCAGGGGAGGTGTCCAGCCCAAAACTATATAGCAGTGTAATGGGGGAAGGTCATGTCATTCATTATGTGAGTGTTTACTATGGGCTGGCCACTGGGAGTAGGGTTAGGGAGACTACAGACAATGGATGGACATGGTCCCCACCTCTATCAGGTAGGGAATAGAGGAGCAATTAAACACACACAATACACAATACCAGGCTGTAGCTCAGTCACTGAGCACGTGCCAAGCATAGGGCATGAGGGAAGCTCTGGAGTTAGCTCTAAAAGACACACACACACACACACACACACACACACACACAAACAAGCAACCCCCAAAAAACTATAAATAGGCCTCACAAGATGAAGCCCTCTCTGCTTCAGATCACTCAGATCACTCAGATCATGGGAACCAACAAAAGTTTCCCAGAGGGAGGAAGTGAATCCTAAGCTGGGAAGTGGAGAAGACATGCTAGTCCAGAGTCAAAGAATTGGCCAGCTGTGTATACCAGTGGGCAGAGAGAAGGAAGGGGCCAGGAGCTGGCTGGAATGCTGTATGGAACTCTTGCCCGGCCTTCTAAGGGGCAGCCGGGTGCTGTGGAGGGCTACAAACCCCTGGTTTGTTTGCAGACTCCAGGGCCTGCAGCAGTTTCAACGCCCTCTCTATACCTCAAGGTGTACAGCAGCGGCTGTCTCAGCCTCTTCTGAGGTCGACCTTCTTCCTCGGGTTTTGCCCCACGAGGCAAAGGAAGCCAGGAGTTCAGTGTCTGGAAGCCCCATGGCGCTATAGGCTGTTGCTCTAATCACTTCAACTTGAAACAGTCTTAACCCTACCACAATTTACAGCGTTCCGTTCATCTTCCCTGCTGTAACCCCAGCATCCAGGCTGCTTGAGACTCTTAGTGGGTCCCATGTTCGTTGGCAGGGCTTTGAGACCCTCGTAATCTCTTAAGTGTCACTGCGGTGGAAGCTGCTGGAAAGAAAGTAGCTGGAGACACAGCTTGAGGTCCTCCAGATGCCCTAGCCTGCCCTCCACACATCTGAGCAGCAGAGCAAGTGTTTTGTCACTTCTGCCTCCACGCCCTCCCTCCCCACCCCCGCTTCCTCCTCCAGTGTCTCCCCATGGAAAACTCGGCAGAGTTGACCTGGGAGTCCCATCCTCTGCTGAAAACTGGTGTTTGGTACATCATGGAATTTTTAGATTAATTTTGTAAACGCCACATTGAACTATTTATCCCGAATATCACTTTTGGGTTCTTTGGAGTCTCCTTTAAATTCTCATGCAAGTCGAATGCCCTGCTTGCCTCTCGCTAGTCCTGGTACTGCCACTTCTCAGGGGACAGTTTCGTTGTGTTCTCCCACGAGCCTCACTGTCCTTGGGTCCTGCTTGTCGGCAGAACTGGGATCCCCAAGGCTCTCTCAGGGTCTTGAAGTATCAAAATGTAGGTAGTGGAAGAAAACTGTAATAAAGAATGGGAGCTGGGAGCTGGAGGGAGGGTTCAGAGGTCGAGCGCTTGCTGTCCTTCCAGAGGACCCGAGTTCGGCTCCCAGCACCCACACGGCAGATCACAGTTCTGGCCAACTTCACAAGGGCTCCAGGAATCAAACTCGGGTCCTTGGACTTGTGTAGCAATCACCTCTACCACTGAGCCATCTCACTGACGCATGGGATGGGCTTTTTAGATTTACAGTTTATAATCATTTAATAATTAAAGGATAATTGTTAGGATTTCAAAGTAAAATCTACAGAAGCAGGTATATTTAACAAATTTTTGTTTCCTGATCTCTCCCTCCAGCTTATTTCTTCTTCTCCTCATAAAAATCAACCACAGCCCAGCCCACACCTATCCTGGCAGGCAAATGGACATGAGTGCCTGTTCCAGTCCATTCTGCAGAGCCACAGAAGGCGGCCTCACTGCCCAAGGCAGCCTCTCCTGCTCACCAGGACTGGGTCCCAGAGGCCGTCTTGCCAGGGCTCTGTGAAGTATAAGGTGGTTCTCTAGTCAATGGAGAGAGGATGCAGCAGCTACTAAACTGATAAGCACAGATACTACCGCCCGCTTCTGCCTCCGTAGTGCTGGGATCAAAGGCATGCACCACCACCGCCCAGCCCCAAAGCCCGTTTGTTATGGATGTAGCTTGACAGTGTTGCTATGTCCTCTGGGACTGAAAGGATCCAGAGCTGTAAACATCCTCATTTTACTAAGTGTTTCCACCAGGAGCTGTTACTTAGCACACAGGCAGGCAGCAGATGTGCAGGCAATGCCACCAGCATACTTCTCTCCTACCTTAGTGCTGGGACAGCCCATGAGAGCAGCAGCCCTGAGCAGGGCTGTGAGCACAAGCAAGATTTGTACTCAGTCCCCAGATCTGTGTCTTGGGGTCCATGCAGCTGAACTTCCAGCCCCGGGGCTGCTGCTCTACCACACAGCTGCCCTCTGAGTGGGTGGGCTTGCTCCACGCCCAGTGCAGGAGCAGACATGACCCTACACATAGGTTAAGTTGAGGGTGGCTCATTAGGTTCATTGTAAACATTACCTAGAGGACTGGAGAGCAGCAGCAGACCTCGGACTTGACTGGAGGAGAAGGAGCCATTGATGAAGAGACATCTTTGGGGGGACTGGCTATGGGGGGAGGTTGTAGAGTCATGCATTAATGACACCCCATTCCTATGATCCTGGATGTTGATATTGGAAGGTAAATGGAGGTCACCCTTGCCCCTGGATACTAACTCCCTGAGAACAAGTTCCCTTTGTGCTCCATCTTCACGGAGTTCCACCGAATTCTGAGGCAGCAATGTGTGCTCTGCGTTAATGTCACAGTCTGGCTGCCGTGTCATTCCTGGCTACAAGAGTAAGGCCAAATTTCTCTCTAAACCTACAACACCTCCCTCTATTATGGTATCTCTTTTCATGCTCTCCTCTGTTCTTACCCTGACTCAATCTTCCTGCTCTCTCCTGTCCTCCTCTCCCCTCCTCTTCTCCCCTTCTCTTTCTGCTAACTCCCTCTCCCCTCCCCAATGCTCCCAATTAGCTCAGGAGATCTTGTCCCTTTCCCCTTCTCCGGGGGACCATGTATGTCTGTCTCTCTTAGGATCCTCCTTGTTTCCTAGCTTCTATGGCAGTGTGGATTGTAGGCTGGTACTCCTTTGCTCTATGTCTAAACTAAAGTCCATATATGAGTGAATACATACCATGCCTGTCTTTCTGTGACTGGGTTACCTCCCTCAGAACTGTGTCCACCCCTTGCTATTTTCCCAGTTTCATTTCTCATAGCACAGAGGAGGGCGGGGGGGGGGGGGGAGGGGCCTAGAATTCTTGGAGTCTGGTGAGACCTGTCTCCATGTCTTCCTGTCTGTGTCACCCTGGACAAGTCACTCACATCTCCGAGTTGTGGTGTCTTTTCTACAAAACGGGGGTGCAATAATATAACATCTAGGACTGTGGGGACAGGGTGTTAATGCAAGACTGTACATCCTCCTGGCACACGGCCCCCATGATGTCAGGTCTGAGGTTGGCCGTCTCTCTAGTCTTCTAGGTGATCTTTACAAGGACAGGTGGCTCTCACATAGCCCTGAGTGGCCCATTTGGCCTCTTATAAGCCTCTTACTCTCAAGCAAGACTGCATTGTATTTTTGGATACTAACTTTTTCTTCTCCCCTTCCCTCCTCTCCAGGGACACTATTAATATCTCACAAGCCCTTCAGCCTTCCTAAGGGAAAAGGCTCACGTCGAGGACTAAATTCTAAAAGGATCCAAGGAACAGAAGATACTTGAAGCCCTTAGGACTGGAGGCCACAGGGGCTGCCAGAGACACTCACACTGTTTCCCAGAGATCCTGATCTCTGGCAACATCAGTCAAGATCCTCAGGCTTTGAGGCAGCAAAGGAGCCCTGTGGACAGGCAGGCCTCAGTAGGCAGGGAGCCCTGTGGACAGGCAGGCCTCAGTAGGCAGGGAGCCCTGTGGACAGGCAGGCCTCAGTAGGCAGGGAGCCCTGTGGACAGGCAGGCCTCAGTAGGCAGTGAATGGGTACCAACCCAAGGAGGAAGGCTGAGTCAGAAGTAAAAGTGAGATGGGCATTGTGGCGCACACCTTTAATCCCAGCACTAGGGAGGCAGAGACAGGCAGATTTCTGTGAGTTCTAGGCCAGCCTGGTCTATAGAGAGAGTTCCAGGACAGCCATGGGTATATAGAGAAAGACTTTGCCTGCCTGCCCCCCCCCCCGCAAATACCAGCACTTGAGAGGTTAAGGAGGAGAATCATGAGTTCAATGTCACAGTGAGTTCCAGGCCAGCCTGAGCTACATGAGACCTTTGTCTTAAAAAAAACTAAAACACAGTGGCTCACATCTGTGATTCCAGAACTTAGAAGGTTGAGACAGGAGGATTGCTTCTAAGTTCAAGACCAGGTTGGGGGAGTGAGACCCTGTGTGGGGATTTGAGTAAGAATGCCCCTCACTCTCCCCCATAGGCTCACACGTTTGAATACTTGTCCCTACTCCGGGAAGAAATAGGGGGTGTGGCCTTGTTGGAGGAAGTGTGGCACTGGGGGCAGCCTTTGAGGTTTCGAAAGACCTGTGCCATCCCTGTTGTGCTCTCTGCCTCCTGCTTGTGGGCAGATGTGCGCACTCAGCTGTTCCTGCCACCACGCCTTTGCTCTGCAGTCATGGACTCTAACCCCTGAAACCGTAAGGCCAATGAAACTCTTTCTTTTATAAGTTGCCTTGGTCACGGTGCTTGATCACAGCAATAGAAAAGTAAAATAAGAGCCAGGTGGTGGTGGCGCACGCCTTTAATCCCAGCACTCGGGAGGCAGAGGCAGGCGGATCTCTGTGAGTTACAGGCTGGGCTGGACCGACAGCCTCCAAAACAATACAGAGAAAGCCTGTCTCGTAAAACCAAAAAAAAAAAAAAAAAAAAAGAAAGAAAGAAAGAAAGAAAGAAAAGTAAAATAAGTAAAAACAAGAGGGCTAGGCATGTAGTATAGTGGCGGGGTGTTTGCTTAGCAGCACGCAAGGCCCTGGGCTCAATCTCAGTGTAGGAAGAAGGAAAAAAAAAAAGGTATGTTCTAGAAAAAAAAATCAATGGTCTCTCACCACTGACTGCACGGACAGTTATCATTCTACAGTCTAAGTACCTCAAGGCTCTGCCAGGCCAATATTAAGATGGGGTGCTCTCTGAGGGGCCTCCACCTCATGTCCCACGGTCAGTCTTCTCCATGGTCTGAGCTTCCCCTGTATTGGCTTCTGCTTCTCACCAGTAAGATAGCTAAGTTTCCTGAATCTCATTACATGGTCAGTGAAGGACCAGGGCAAGCCCTGTCCTGTGAGACAATGGCCCCGGGTCCTGTGAGTCGGTCCCTGTCCTGTGAGACGGTCCCCGTCAGGAATGGGCAGGCTCTTCCTGAGGCTTCTCTCTGTCAGTACTCATGGCTTACCTTCTGTGGTGAGGCTGTCCATGAAGAGGGAGGAAGAGGTAGTGCGGTCACCATCAAAGGGGCCGAAGGAGCTGTCAGGGGAGGCTGAGTAGTGACCCTCATCCTGGAAGTCCTCGCACGTCCTGCCTTCTGCCTGCAAGAGACCCCCGTGCTGCTTCTGGACACAGCCAGCCCTGAATTCACCCAAACCTTGTACTTATACTCAACTACTTGGGAAGTGGAGCAGGTAGGATGGAGGGATTGATTGAGTCCAGGAGTTCAAGACCAGCCTAGTCATCAGTGGAGACCCTGTTTCAGAAAATAACTAAGATGGAATCTTCCACTTTATTTTGAAAGTGTCTTATCTTACACGGTAATTTATCTGTCAGCAGCTTCAAATCAATCAGGGGGCTGAGATGTCAATCTTAAATAAATAGATAAAATCTTAATAGTCACTGGCTGGGTGCTCTCCTTTAATGCCAGCATTCAGAGGCAGAGGTAAGGAATCTCTGTGAGTTTGGGGCATCCTGGTATAAATGGCAAGTTCAGTACAGCCAGGACTACATAGACCTTATCTCAAAATCAAAACAAAATAAATTAATAATAATATCTTTTTTTTGTTTTTTGTTTTTTACGAGACAGGGTTTCTCTGTATTGTTTTGGAAGCTGTCAGTCCAGCCCGGCCTTGAACTCACAGAGATCTGCCTGCCTCTGCCTCCCGAGTGCTGGGATTAAAGAATAATGATATCTTAACAGTCACTAACAGCCAGTGTCAGATGTGGCTGCCCCCCACATTTATCTATTTAGCGCATGTGTATCTATTTAAAGTGTGTGACCACCATAACAAGTATATGGAAGTCAGAGAACAAACTGTGCAGGCCGTTCTCACCTTCCATCTTGCGGGTTCCGGGGATCAAACTCCGGCTCTGAGGCTTGGCAGCAGGCACCTTTACCCTCTGAGCCGTTTTGCTGCCCCGGTTATTTTTTCTTAAGAGCAGAGAAAGATGAGAGTATGGCAGGGAAGCCTGGAGGACTTGAGTTTAAACACTGAGCCTAGCATCTTGTAGGGGTGAATGCCAGGCCAACTCTTTAAACTTCTCTGTGCCTCAGTTTCCTCTCTGGTCAGTGAGGGCCCTGGTCCCCAGGTTTTTGGGTCATGTTAAATAAGAGGAAGTAGAAAGCAGCGAATTGTGCCTGGCGTGCAAGAAGACCCGGAGACCAGGGAGCTGTGTGAGTTTGAGGCTAGCCCAGAGTACAAAGGGAGTGGGAAAGGAATGGTGCCCGAATGAAACCACCTGTTCTCGCCATGTGAGAAGATGTCTCCAGAGTCTAGAGCAGCCGTTCTCAGCCTGTGGATCACAACCTCTTTTACAAACCTCTGTCTCCCAAAATACTTACACTGCGACCCATAACGGTAGCAAAATTACAGTTATGAAGTAGCAACGAAATAATTTTGTGGTTGGGGGTCACCACAACATGAGGGACTGTATGAAAGGGTCACAGCGTTAGGAAGGCTGAGAACCACTGTTCTAGATTGTTCTGGCACCTGGATGGGATTCTAAGTAGGAGGTGCCTGGAACAACCCCCCTCATTCCCAGAACGACTCCCTCCCTCAAGATCAGTAGGAATAGAGCTTCATTAACATCATAAAGAGTACAGGGCCCCAGAGGAGTCAGCTGAGGCTAAGGCCAGACCCAACTCGCCCTCTCCTCTGAGGTAACAGGATTCCCAGGGTTCCTGCTCAGGGCCACTGTTGGGGAAGTCTTATGCCAATAAAGCACTGTCTGGCCAATAGGGAATCTAGATAGGAGGGACTAGGAGTCCAGGAGGATTCTGGGAAGGAGAAACACAAGAGTCGACATGTAACGCCATGAGGTAGGAGCCCAGAACTATTCTCCGGTAAGAGACATACTTAGATTAACAATTATGGGGTAATTACTTAAGTCAGAGCTAGCCAGTAAGAGACAAGCAAGGCTCCCAGCAGAGACTAAAGCAGATCTCTCACACTCACACGTCTCACCTCCTGGGCACAGCCGTAGGCCAACCACTCCTGGCGGTAGCGGTCAAAGCCACTGGAACATCTATAGGGAACCAAATGTGGGAGATGTGAGGGGCTCAGCAGAGAACCAATCACTTACCCCTCTACTCAGTAACAGCCAGTGAGGGGAGGGGGGGGGCTCAGCTCTAGGCAACAGAACAGCCCCTGCCCAGGTGCCCTGGGCAGGAGGTGATTATGGGATTTGCAGTCAGACCCTCATGTCCTCTACTTCTTCCTTCTGACCCAGCTGCCCAGGTCTAAGCTTTCTCTGCCCAGCCGTGTCTGTGTGTGTGTGTAGGACCCTGGAAACTCTCGGGTTCCTTCGACTCTGGAAATCTGGGACGTCCATGCCTATGTTTTCCTTCTGAGAAAGACTTGCTCAGTCAGGGCTCTCCATCACTACTGAGGGTCTCCCTTTGGCAGCAGAGGCTGAGCAGACGGTGGTATCAGATCATGTAATGTAGCCAACTCCCTCTGTGTAATCACAAGGGGACAGCGATAAGATTGGTGTCAGAGACCATCATGGTCTCTGGAGAGAACAGAAGACATCAATGGATTTCCTAGGGAGAGGGCGGGGCCCAAGCATGAGCTGCAGAATGGTCTTTCCAGCATCATCCTGCTTAAATTTCCGTTCTTCCTTTTTGGTGTCAGAGGAAGTCACTAAGCTCTATGCCACCCAAGCATGTCGCAATGGAAGAATAACATCCCAAGCCACTAGCTCAGAGAAAGACTCTCCAGCAGGTTAACTCAGCCCCAGCAGTGGCCGTGTGCCCACACCCTGGTCAGATCAAGGCAAAGTTTCTCCGGTGGCTGAGCTGGGCCGGCCACCACTCTTCTCACACTTTTTAGGGGATGGGGACAAGGAGCAGTTTGGAGGTTGGAACTCAGGCTTCTTTGATAATATTGGTGGATTCTTTTAAGACTAAGTTGAGTCTTAGTGGTGGTGGTGGCGCGTACCTCTGATCCCAGCTCTCTTGAGGCAGAGGTGGGTGGATATCTGAGTTCAAGGGCAGCCTGGTCTACAGAATGAGTTCTAGAACAGTCAGGACTAAACCGAGAAACCTTGTTTCAGAAAACAACAAAAGAAAACACAAAGGACTGAATCTTCATGCTGGTTGTGGTGGTGTATGCCAAAGAAGCAGTTCAAGGCCAGCCTGGTCTACATAGCAAGTTTCAGACAAGAGGACCCAGGTTCCATCCCCACTAACCACGGTGAAGGCCCACAACTGTCTATGACTCCAGATCCAGGGAACCCAATGCCCTCTTGTGACTTCCAGGCATGAACATGGCTCACAGACACACATTCAGGGAAAATACCCACATACATAGACAAAATAAAACAAAAATCAAGAAACACCACAACCACGAGTCTTGAGTTTGGATTAAGTCTCAAGCTAGCCAACATTGACTCAGAGAAGAATATGAGAATGGGCCATTTACTGAGTGTCTCTTGACTATCTGGTGCAGTCACAATGACATGGTAAGGTGAGAATTATGACCATTATTTTCTGGGCAATTCCAGGGCTGAGGCCACCCACAGACTCAAGGGGACAAGTGGTAGGACCAATATAGAAAGAAAGGGAAACATCTTTGGAGAAATTGTCCTTTACAGTGCATAGAGGGGACCCTGAGTGGCTACAGAGGGCAGAGCGAGTGGGGGAGGGGAGAAGAGACCCATTGGTGTCCCCAGGACACTGGCCCTGTCCTCTGGCTTTTCAGGGAACTGGCATCAACTCTTATTTGAAGCTGAGGCTCCAGAGGCTGTCTGGTGGAAGCATGGGCTGGAGTAAGCCCAGTGCCGTGGGTGTCTGGCTGTAGAAGCATGGCTTGAGGGAACCCAGTGATCTGGGGATCTGGCTGGGGTGGGTGGTTTAAGCTCCCTTGTTCCCTCTGCTGGGGCATTCCTGTTTTGTCGTAGAGGCAGAGCCCACCAGCAGAGGCCCTACACTTCCCATCCTGGCCAGCATCTTCACATTCAGGAACTCCAGCTTTCATTCCACTGTCTTGTCTCTAAGTTTGGGTATGGCTGCTAACTGGGGGTGGTGGTGAAGGGAGGGTTTGCTTTGTATGACCCATTTTCCTATGGCTCAGCACGGGTTGGATCCTGAGTCATGCCTGGCAGCAGCCCCCAGATCCCAGGGATCATGTGAGGTCATCTCACGTACCATCCCAAGACTCAGAAAATGCTGCTCAGCTTTGAAAATGAGATGAAGCACCCCACAATTTAGGCTCCTGGCATCTTGGTCCCTGGGGACCACATTTTTTTACATTGCTAGTCTCACACTCACTACACAACTGGAGATGACCTGAACTCCTGATGCTCCCACCTCAACCTCTCAAATGCTGGGATTATAGACATGTGCCACCATACCCAGATGGCTTTTTTTTTTTAGCTGTTTTATTTTTATTTTACATATATGGGTGCCTTGCCTGTGTGTACGTCTGTGTACCACATGTGTGCAGTGCCTACAGAGGCCAGAAGAGGGCATCAGATCCCTGGAATTGGAAGTGTAGACAGTTGTAAACCATTGAGTACTGAGATTTGAACCCCGGGTCCCTCTGGAAGAGCAGCTAGTGCTCTTAACAGCTAAGTCATCTCTTCAGCCCCAGGATTGCTTTTTTGGTTTGGTTTTGAGACAGGATCTTAATATGTAGCCTTGTCTGTCCTGGAACTCACGATGTAGACCAGGATGGCTTTAAATATCATAGATATCCACCTACCTCTGTCTTTTTTTTTTTTTAAACAGGGTTTCTCTGTCTAACAGCCCTAGCTGCCTAGCTGTCCTGGAACTTGCTCTATAGATCAGTTCGGCTTCGAATTCACAGAGATCCGCCAGCCTCTGCCTTCTAAATGCTGGGATTAAAGATATGCGCCACCACATCCAGCCTGGCTGCCCTTTTTACCAAGTCTTTAGGGTGGTTCTCACAGTCCACAGGCAGGAAAGCTTCACTCCCAGAAGACAGGGTTTTTTTTGTTGTTGTTTTGTTTTGGTTTTGGTTTTTTCGAGACAGGGTTTCTCTGTGGCTTTGGAGGCTGTCCTGGAACTCGCTCTGTAGACCAGGCTGGCCTCAAACTCACAGAGATCCGCCTGCCTCTGCCTCCCGAGTGCTGGGATTAAAGGCGTGCGCCACCAACACCCGGCCGCCAGAAGACAGGGGTTTAAATCACCAACTTCCCCTGGGGCTCTGTGCCTTGCCTGCAAAGGACCCTGGATGAATTTGTTAAAATGCTATCTGGCATTACAGGAGCTGCAGTAACAGTGAGTGCCCCACCCATGCCTCTCTGAATCACATCCTCTAGGCCATTTCGTAGGGTAAAGGAATTAAGGTCCCCAAAAAGAGACAGACACGGCTGGAGGGAAGAACACCCCCGAGGCTGAGGCCCCTGGCATCCCATCCCAGCTGCTCTCTGGTGGGCGGCTTGGGGTCCCGTGTGCCAGGCTGGCAGTCTGTAGGATGCAGAACGTCTATTTCTGCTCTGAGATGTTGGAGAGGAGCAAAGGAAATGCTGACCACTGCACAACAGCTGCACAGCGGCTTAGAGACTGTAATTTTTCAATTTTCAAGATGGCCTTAAAGGCTCTTGGAATTTGTAGGGCTTCCCACTCCCAGGAGAGCCAGCATCCCCAAAGGAGTCCTTTCTCCCATCTCCTGTCATTTATTTATCTTGGCTAGAAGAACCTGAGATTGAAGTACAAGTCTAACTGGTGAGGAGATGATTCCAGAACAAGGACTGGAAGATGTGCTGGACTGAAGAACTTCATCCCCAAAACCAAATCTCATCCAGAGTGCCCTGAGCGTCCCGTACCTGCAGCATTCATGCCTGCTTCTCAGGAAACCTGTTGCAGCCCAAGAGGACACTGGGGCAGTTTTGGGGGGTCATGGAGCTCACCCAGCAGTGACAAGTCTTTGTGTCGCAGTCTGTCACTTGCTTACTAATGGGGTGTCATGCTAAGATGTAGGCCAACCTTTAATACCAGCACTTGGGAGGCAGAGGCAGGTGAATCTCTGTGAGTTCCAGGTCAGCCTGATCTATAGAGTGAGTTCCGGGACAGCCAGAGCTGTTACACAGAGAAACCCAGTCTCAAAAACCAAAACAAGCAAACAAAAAGATGCAGACCTGGGGTCTCCCTGGAAATCATAGCAGAAGGGTCCAGTGATTCTGGAGTGACCACAGCGTGGCCTACTCTTTGTGAAGCCCAGAATGAGTCAGCTTTCCTGCAGCCTCCAGAGTCTCCAGACGATCTTCCCGAAGCCTGGCCACCCCAGGCCTTACTCTGCCACACACTACCTTGACCAGGTAAAAGCCTTGAGAGAAACTTACTAGTCGAATTCTTGTCTTACGAGTCAGACTGGTACTGGACAAACAGACCCTAATGCTCTCAAGCAGTAGGCAGTGAGGCCTGAGGCTGTCAGTGGGCCCTGGTTACCCCCACCCAGCCTCACCCTCACCTCTGTGGCTGGTCACCTGGACACAAACCTCTGCAGGACATGGCACCAGCTGCAGTTGAAGGTCAGAGTTGAGGACATGCAGGTGTCGCAGCTCCGATGCTGGAGGCAGGCTGCAAGAGAGGAGGCTGTGACTGTCAGCACCGTGTCCCTGCTCCTCAGGGCAAAGCTCCTGAATGCTGGGTCATTCCTGAACTGTGGTGTCTCCGACTTTGGGGACAATTTAAGGTCATTATTGCCTCTCTCTCTCTCACTTTTGTTGTGTTTCAAGACAGTGTCTCTCTATGTAGTTCTGGCTGTCCTGGAACTTGCTATGCAGACCAGCCTGCCCTCAAACTCACAGAAATCCTCCTGCCTCTGCCTCCTTTGTGTGCTGGGATTATTGAAGAGCAGTTCCTCCTTCCCTTTCTTTTCTCCAGCCTTCCTGGTTACTGGACCCTGGGATGTGATCTTCATTATCTACTTGACTGGATTTTGAATTACTTGACTGGATTTTGAATTGAAGCCCAGTGGGTTGGGAATCCAGGTGTCCTGACTGCTGGTCTCATGTAAGTGGCTCTCACTACCAGTTTGCCACCATGATAGACTGTACCCTCCACTGTGAGACAAAGTATACCCTTCCTTTTTGTTTTTGGATCTTTGAGACAGGGTTTCTCTGTGTAGCCCTGGAACTCACTCTGTAGATCACTCTGTAGATCAGGCTGACCTCAAACTCACAGAGATCCACCTGCCTCCCCAAGTCTCCTTTCTTTATTTTTAAATAATTTATTTATTTTTATTTTATTTGGATTGGTGTCTTGTGCTGCATGTGTGTCTGTGTGTGAGGGTGCTGGATTCCTTGTAACTGGGGTTAGAGACAGTTGGGAGCTGCCATGTGGATGCTGGGATTTGAACCTGGGTTCTCTGGAAGAGCAGCCAGTGCTCTTAACCACTGAGCCATCTCTCCAGCCCCCACACCCTCCTTTCTTAAGATGCTTTTCTCACATCAACAGAAAAATAACCATTCATGTGCCCTGGGAGTCTAGAATATATGGAAACCATGGGTAGGAGCTTTCCTTACCCATTCTACAGTGGGGAGCTGAGGCTTGGAGAGTCTTGGAGCTAAGGGTGGCAGGTCTGGGTTTGAATCAGGGCCTGTCTGAGCCTGGAGTCAGAGCGTTCAGTCTTGATGCTCCATTACAGATGCCTGCCTGGCTTGGACATACATTCCCAGGATGGCTCAGTACTGCCGGGGCAGTTGAGCCTGGCCTTGGATATTCTTGCTCCTGATTTCCAGGACTCAAGGTTTGGTTCCCCCCAGAGACAGAAGCTCCCTATATAGCCCAAGCCAGCCTTGAACTCAATGTCCTCCTGCCTTAATGTCTCAAAGGGAATTACAGGCCTGCATCACTGTGAGCCCAAGATCTACTCTTACAGTGTGGCCTTTGGGAAACCCCTACTTCCCAGGCCTTTGGGCTTCTTGCCTCAGTGGTGAGTGACTGGATTGGGGGGTGACTGTGACCTGACTGTGTCCTCAGATTCTGATTGCTTCATGATCAGGGCCTTTCCCAGTCTGCTATCTATTCCCAGAACTTCCAGGGAATAGAAAAGTGTGTGTGTGTGTGTGTGTGTGTGTGTGTGTGTGTGTGTGTGCACGCGCATGCGCACTCGCAAATGGCTACAGCTCTCTCAGTTGGCAGCAGGGAGACTCCTGACACAAGAGAAGGAACAATGCCCTCTGGAGAAATACTATTCTGAACCTGGTGCAACAGCACATGCCTGTAGTCTCAGCTCTTGGGAGGCGGAGGCAGGAGGATCACTGCAAAGGAGAAAGCAGCCTTGGCTACATAGCAGGCAGGCTCCACCTCATCCAAGGCTGTGCAGTGAGGCAGCCTCCAGGGACACCTTCTCTAGGGGAAAGACGGTGAGTGACCGAAGACCAGCTCTATTTCTGGATCCCTGTCCAAGCAGTATCCAGGCTCAGCTCTCTGGAGTTTCAGATATGTATTCCTAGCAGTGGATGACAATGATTAGACACAGACCACACTCCAGGCCTGGGGTGAGCTAGTCCATGCAAGGCTGCCATTTCTGTAGTCAACTTGGCCTGTGTGGTCCCAGCCCTGACCATAGCTTTGCAGGGTGGTGACATCAGGCCCAGAGAAGTTAGGTGACTGTGTTCCCAGGGATCAGAGGTTGGGCCTGAGATCAGAACCCAGCCTTTTTGAGTCTAAAGCATGTTCTAGAACAACAGACTGGCCCTACTCACTTGGCAATGGGGTGAACTCCACAGCTGATGTGTTGGTGATCTTGCCGGAGTCCAGTTCCACCCGGTGGTATTCGAAAATCGTCCGTCTCCGAGACTCTGAGAAAAAGTGGGGTTTGTCACATCAGGAGCACACCATAATCAAAGCACTCCCAGGCCTGCGCCCAGGACCCCAACAGAGGTTAGCAAGCAGCCAGTGAGATAGGAGGTGAACCTGGAGGCCTGGGATAGTAATGCTGAAGCTACATGCAGGGAAACTAAATGTGAGTGGCTTGGGAGGAGGGCCTTACATAAAAAGCAGGCTGAACCTGGTGGCCTGGCTGCTCCTGGAGTCAGGACCTAAGGCATCCTCCTCAGGCCCGGATAATGCCACAGCATTTGTCCATTCTCTTTGTGTCTAGCGCACTCAATGCGGCTTCCCTGGCCAGCGCTCCTAGGCTGCTCTGCTCCACTCAGGCCGAGTGCCTTCCCCACACTCCCTTATTAACTTCTCATTGGACGAGTGGTGAGCACCTGACTGTGAACCTTGACAGCCGATGTTCACTAACAAGAGACACTACCCTGTCTGACCACGCCCTGGCTCTCCCCTCCTGGTAGAGGCTTGGCAAGGTTCAGAGCCCAGAACCAAGCCTACATCCTGCAGCTGCCGTGGCCCCCAAACATTGGAAATCACAGAACCTGGGGGTCCATACAAGTAGGAGGACACTGCTCTGGAGTTGGTGCAGCATCCCAGACAGACAGAGTGACCACAGCCGCAGCCCTTGGGCCTGAGCTGGAGATGCCAGCAGGAACACTCCCATATCACCGGGAGGGGCCAGCAGTCACCTACATCTGCCACAACCCTGGAAAGACGGGGAGACGGACTGAGACCGTGGGGAAAGGGAAGCCTTTGCCAGACTGCCACCTTGCCCAGGTGATCTTGACTGAGGGACTCAGGCTCAGCAAACCACACTGAGAAATGAGATGTTAAACTCTACTCATGGGGCTGTTTTGAGGACTTGGGTTTTTTGTTTGTTCTGGTTGTTGTTTTGTGGTATTTCTAGAAACAGGTTCTCACTAGGCAGCCCTTGGTTGGTGGCCTGAAACTCAATCTGTAGACCAACCAGACTGACCTTGAACTCACGAAGATCCGCCTGCCTCTGCCTCCTGAGTGCCCCACTATGCCCTGGATTATTTTGAGGTTTATAGAAGACAGCGTGTGAGCTTCTCTGCCCTCTGTTTTGTTTCGGCTGAGATTCTGACACTTTCAGCCGCTCCGGAGCCCTCACACCCCCTCTAACCATTGTTTATAAACTTGGCTGTGGAGCGGAAGGATGTCCACTTGCTCCCTTCCCCCCCTGCCCCCAGCTCCCCATGGCATATTTCATGTCAGAGAGCCTCTGCCAGCTTCAGCAGCCCCTCCCACTTTGGACATTGCTGTAACTAGAGTCCCTCCCAGAGGCCCCGACCCTTGGCTAACAACCTGGGCATCCTGCCTGACTTTGTACTCCTAGCCTCTGCCATCCCCACCACTGCCTGGCACTCTGTTGGTCCCCCACCAGAGAGCAAGGCAATAGAAAACACCGGGCTGTCAGTGCTCGGGTGGCAAGTGGGTCTTGGGGTTCAGGCCAAGGACAGTTCAGAGAGTTCTGATCTCAGATCTCCCTCCCCACCGCACTTGTCCCAAGCTCACACATCCTACTGGCCCTCTGGGCTTCTTGGAGCCCTTGACCTTCCTTTACTGCCAGGGGAGGTGACCAACCCAGGCCTGAGATGCCTCCCTTCCTTGGAGGACTCCCACTTTGGAAGCAGATGGTTTGTAATGAGAGCAAGGCTCCTGCTTCCTCCTCCCCACTCTCCATCCCAGACGGATCCTCGGACAAACATCGGGTGGGAGGAAGGGTCCAGACCTCCATGGGATTCCTGCCCAGTGTAGGTTCTGTCAGAGTGACACTCAGATGCCTCAGGCTGAGCTGCAAGGGAGCCAAGACATACTGTTCCGCCATGCACTTCACAAGTGGGGAGACTGAGGCACAGACAGGCTAGTCCATAGAAAAATACATCTTTTGTAACACACTGCCAGCCAAGCCTATCCACAGCCTTAAAGAGAAAACACCTTCTGCAGTTGAAGGGGAAAATTGCACAAGAGCCCAGCATCACCGTGAATGTCTTCAGTCAACTCATTTGGTACGCAGGTGTGGGCACCTGCTAAATCCTGAGCCCCAGCTCAGAGCTCCCAGATCTGACCATCTCATTTGCTCTGGCATCTTTCTGGAGCTCATGGAGAGACACCACTGCTCACTACATCTTAAAGGAAGAAGTGACAACAAGGAGATGCTGTGCGTATTACCTATATGTATTACTTGCTCAAAGCCATGTAGCATTTTTTTAATCCAAAGGCTAGACTTAAACCTGAGGTTTCAGCTAGACATCCTGGCACATGTCTGTAATCAGAGCACTCAGGGAACTACGCCAGGAGGACCGCTATGAATCGGAGGGAACCTAGACTACATGGTGAATACTAGACCAGCAAGGGCTGTATAGCAAGACCTTGTCTCAGAAAAACACACAAACAGCCCCAGGTCTCAGGGTTAGGAAAACTCCGAAAAGTCCCCAGAGGTGTGTGTGGTGTGTGTTCGGGTGAGTGTGTGCAGGTGAGTGTGTGCAGGTGAGTGTATGCAGGTGAGTGTGTGCAGGTGAGTGTGTGCAGGTGAGTGTGTGCAGGTGAGCGTGTGCAGGTGAGTGTGTGCAGGTGAGCGTGTGCAGGTGAGTGTGTGCAGGTGAGTGTGTGCTCATGAGTGTGTGCAGGTGAGTGTGTGCTCATGAGTGTGTGCAGATGAGTGTGTGCTGATGAGTGTATGCAGATGAGTGTGTGCAGATGAGTGTGTGCTTATGAGTGTGTGCTGATGAGTGTATGCAGGTGAGTGTGTGCAGGTGAGTGTTGCAGGTGAGTGTGTGCTCATGAGTGTGTGCAGATGAGTGTGTGCAGGTGAGCGTGTGCAGATGAGTGTGTGCAGATGAATGTGTGCAGGTGAGTGTGTGCTGATGAGTGTGTGCAGGTGAGCGTGTGCTGGTGAGTGTGTGCTGATGAGTGTGTGCAGGTGAGTGTGTGCTGGTGAGTGTGTGCAGGTGAGTGTGTGCAGATGAATGTGCAGGTGAGTGTGTGCAGGTGAGTGTGTGCAGGTGAGTGTGTGCAGCCATTGGGGATGGTACATGAGATCTGGCCAATTCCTGTAGCATAAATGCTCTAACACCCACTTTCAGCATCCTTACTGGTGTTTCTAAAAGAGACAGAATGGAACATTTGCATGACTGTCTTTGAAAGTAAACTATTATACCAGCATCCAAAGACTTGGATGATTGTGTATTCATTTCCCTACTGTCTGAGAGTTTCCACTGCTGTGATGAAACACCATGAGCAAAAGCAACTTGGGGAAGAAAGGGTTTATTTCATCTTACAACTTTTGTGTCACATTCCCATCACTAAAGGAGGTCAGGACAGGACCTCACAGAAGGATCCCGGAGGCAGGAACTGATGCAGAGGCCATGGAGGAGTGCTGCTTACTAGCTTGCTTTCCCTGGCTTGCTCAACCTCTCTTATAGAACCCAGGACCAGCCGGGCATTGGTGGTGCACGCCTTTAATCCCAGCACTCAGGAGGCAGAGGCAGGTGGACCTCTGTGAGTTCGAGCCCGGGCTGGTCCGACAGCCTCCAAAACAATACAGAGAAACCCTGTCTAGTAAAACCAAAAAAAGAAAAAAGAAAAAAAGAAAAGAAAAAAGAAAGTACAGTCAGGTATGCCTTTAATCTCAGCACTCAGGAAGCAGAGGCAGGCAGATTTCTGTGAATTCAAAACCAAGATGGTCTACAGAGTGAGTTCCGGGACAGCCAGGGCTACATAGACAGACACTATCTCAGAAAAAAGAGAAAGGAAGAAAGAAGGAAAGAAAGAAAGAAAGAAAGAAAGAAAGAAAGAAAGAAAGAAAGGAAGGAAGGAAGGAAGGAAGGAAGGAAGGAAGGAAGGAAGAAAAAGAAAGAAAGAAAGAAAGAAAGAAAGAAAGAAAGAAAGAAAGAAAGAAAGAAAGAAAGAAAGAAGGAATGAACCAGAGTTGCCTACAGGTCAATCTTATGGAGGCACTTTCTCAGTTGAGTCCCTCTTCCCAGATATGTCTGTCTGGGTTTGAGTCAAGTTGACAAAAACTAACCAGCACACCTACTAAATAGCCTTCAGTTGAAAGGAGAGGCTGTGGAGACAAGCTTCAGAAATGACAGGCAGAAGAATGAGGTATGGTGTCATATGACTGCGATATCAGCAGTCTGGAGGATACTGACTTTGAGGCTAGACTAGGCTACAAAAACGATCCTGTTCAAATGAAGAAAAAGTCACTTAGTAGCAGCCAAGTGTCTAAGGGGTACCATTGTGCTAAGAGGCTGCGTCCCATCAGGAACTGGGAGTGGACTGGAAAACTAGCCCAGCAGTTAAGAGGACTTGTTCTCACAAGGGACCTAAGTTCGATTCCCAGCACCCACATGAAGGCTAGGGACTACCTGTAACTCCAGTCCCAGGTAATCCAATACCCTCTTCTGGCCTTTGAGGGCACCAGGCACTCATATGATATACATACACACATGCATACAAAACACTCAAACACATAAGATAATAAAAATTTAAAAATCTAATTTTTTTAAAGAACTATGGGAGTGAGCCTGGTATGACAGAGCATATCTTTACTCCTGGCACTTGGGAAGCAAAGGACAGGTGGATCTCTGTGAGTCTGAGGCCAGCCTGGTCTGCATAGTGAGTTCCAGGACAGCTAGGGCTATGTAGAGAGATCTTGCCTCTCAAAAACAAAACAAACAACAATAAAATCAAACTATAGGAATGAGATCTTGTACATGGGAATGAACCTCTCACCCCTACCAACCCACAGCGCACCCACTCATGCACACACATACACAGGCATATAAATAGCCACACCCATAGACAAACACATAAACACATGCACACAGAGTTTTGTTTTAGTGCAGGGGGTTGAACCTAGGTTCCATCCATACTAGACAAACACTCTACCATTGGGCTACATCCCCAAACCCACTCAGACTAATGTTTGAATGAGGTGACGCAGGGTCTCACATTATACCTGGTTGCCCTTGAACTCGGGATTCCGAGTGATGGGATTATAGGCCTATATCATCATGCCCAACTTTCCCCATACACACTTTTTTTGACAGAAGACCCCTAACCATGGGAAAACGAGATGCTATGGGCAGTAGGGTGAAGAAGGCAACGTTCTTGTCATTCGTGTGCCCAAAGGGACACTGAGGCCCAGAAGGTGGCCTGGGGACCTGGGAACATTTAAGTAGAGGATGGAAAATTCTAATGAGGCTTTGACAGCTCCATCCCTGTTCATTCTTGCCAGGAACCATCCCAAAGCCACCCTTTGAGCCAGGAGACCTCAGGTCTAATGCCAACCTCCTTTTCCTCTTCGGGCTCCCTCCTCGGGGCACAGCTGATTGGTTCCCTCTCTCATGCTGAATCATTGGTGCCATCTCACCCGTCACACAGCTCAGTCATTATCTAGATTCCAGTCTTACCTTCCCCTGCCCCTGGGCTTCAAGATCCCTGAGGACAGCGTTAGCCTGGCATTTGTCTTTGCCGGTCCCCTGCCAAAGGTCTTCTACCTAACAGGGCTTAGGAAACGGCTGTGAAGAAATGAACAGATTACAGATGGCCCTGAAAAACCTCATCTACCTGTTCTAGCCAGCCAGAGCCCATAGGAAAACCCTTCTCGTCCGCTCACTACAGATCAGGGCAGAAAGCCTCAGAAGAGGAGTCTTCAGATGGCCACAGTCAGACAGAGCCAGGCTGGGGCCCAAAGAAGGCACAGGGCTGAATCTGAGGAACTCCCCACCTACAAAGGTGTAGGCCAGAGCTCAGACACAGGGTCAGAAGGAAGGTGACATGAGACCCAGGCACAGATGGAGACAGGCACTTGCAGAGGAAGCCAAGTCCAAGGACGGAGACATATAATCCATAGCCGTGAAAAGCAGAGCACTGCAAGGCTCCCACTAGACGGCGGGGCAGAGGTAGGGCTGAGCCCAGGGCATAGTCAGATCTTTGGGAAGCAAGTGCAGCCGTACCAGTGGTCAGGCAGATGAATGGCAGTGTGGAGGAGGGTGTTGGATGATGTTCAGAAATCTGAGTGAAAAAGACTGGCCACTTTGACTGCCGCCTTGTACCCATCTGAGTATATGACTTAGGTACATTTTTATTTTTATAAACTGAATCTCCATACTGGAGTCATTTGCCTTTGGATTACTACACCAACGTGTGGGCTCACCCAGTGGACAATGACATCCATCTGCATGGCCATGTTTCTGGAGCCAGGAGAGGGGCAGTCTCCAAGCCACACTTCTGGCAGTTTGAGACGCTCTCTTTTGTCTGCTTCAGCTTTCCCAGATACAGAAACACTGAGGTCCACAGGAAACTTGCTGCCCCATCCAGACCTGACAGTGGCTCGGAGGAGAGGGTCACACGACCCATTTTGTTCTCACACCGGCCACCAGCAGGCCAGCATTGCTCTGGGTAGAGTCAGGAGTGGTAGAGAACATCTGTAATTCCAGGACTGGGGGAGGGGAGGTGGGATGGTCAAGAGCTCAAGGTCACCTTCCTGGGCTGTGTATGTTTCTGTCTTAGAAGAGGAAAAAGGAAGAGGAGGGGCAGAGGGAGAGAGAGAAATAGGGGAGAGGGAGAAGAAAGATGAGGAGGACCACCACTAGTAGATACTGAAAGATCAAGCCACAAAAGACTCCAGAATGTCGTAACCATTGTTTGGAAGTATGCAATGTGGGTCTCCATCCATCCATCCATCCATCCATCTGTCCCTTTGCTCGTTTGGTTATTTAATCAGTAATAAAAATTAGAACCCTGGCAGAAAACCCTGAGGAACTCTCAGCTCAGGGCAGGAAGCAGATCAGGTTTTCATCATTGAAGCAAAAAAGGGCAGAAAATGCAAAAAACAGACTCCAGAGCCAAGTGCTGGGAACACAGGATAAAAGTGGAAGAGTGGACGAAGGGGCCTCAGTGGAGAAAACTCTCCGAGGAAGAGCACTATAAAACCCTTTAAATATACTTTAAATGTGGTGGCACGCGTCTTTAATCCCAGCACTCAGGAGGCAGAGGCAGGTGGATGTCTGTGAGTTCCAGGCTAGCCTGGTCTACAGAGTGAGCTCCAGAATAGCCAAGGCTGCTACCCTGTCTGGAAAAACAAAACAACAACAACAAAACACTGTTTTTCTCTGTCTTCCTCCCCCTCCCTTTGGAGACAGGGGTTCACATACTCCAGAGGGGCCTGGGACTCACAATGCAGCTGAGGGTGACCCTAAACTAATCATTCTCCTGCCTCTACCTCCTGAGTGCTGGGACTACAGGAGCACAGCATCACGTGAGACTCTCTATGAAGGATCCTTATTCAGGAGAGTAAGAAGTCAAAATGGGCCAGATTTGGTGGCTATCCCTCCTCCCACAGCCTCTTTGGCTGGTTCCTCTCCCTTCTGCAGCCAGCTCTGGGGCCTCCACCTTCTTCATGGCTGCCTGGCGCAGAGATATGACACATGCTTCTGACACACATCTGGCCTCAAGTCAGCTTTGGAAAGGAAATTCTAGGAAAGGAGGACCAGTGCTCTAGGGCCATCTGAGGCCAGTCAGGTGACATCCAGAGTTCACATTACATCTGCAGCCCTTGATAATCTGGCCTTGAGTAACTGATTCTGCCTCCTGAGTTCCGAGATTAAAAGTGTGCACCAGCACTGCCTGGCAAAATAAAGTTTCTTAAGACAAATGAAGGGGCCAGATGTGGAGACAGCACTGAGGACGCAGAGGCAGGAAGATCTCTGAGTTCGAGACCAGCCTGGTCTATAGAGTGAGTTCCAGGACAGCCAGGGCTGTTACACAGAGAAACCCTGTCTTGGAAAAACAAACAAAAACAACAAAAGACAAGTGAAGGTAATTGAGTTTTGGCACTTTCTCCAGCCAAATGGAGAGCACTGAGGCCACCATGGAGGCTTTGAGCTGCAAGCAGATGCTGCTGACAGACACAGCTGCCCTCTGCATCACAGTGCTCTCTGGGCTCCGGGCACAGTGTGAGCAACAGTTTACATAAGGGACATAAGGGAGTAATGGAAGGAAACCTGGCTGTGTTCAGCAAATCTCCCCTGGTCCCTCCCAAGACCTCGCCTATCCTACTTAGTGGGGCAAAAAGGGGTGAGTGGCAGGTGGGGTTATCTGGATGTTGGGCGTCTGAAGGCAGGTTCTTTTTTTTTTTTTTTTTCAAGACAGGGTTTCTCTGTATTGTTTTGGAGGCTGTCCTGGAACTCGCTCAGTAGACCAGGCTGGCCTCGAACTCACAGAGATCCGCCTGCCTCTGCCTCCCGAGTGCTGGGATTAAAGGCGTGCGCCACCAACGCCCGGCCTGAAGGCAGGTTCTTATGCTAGCTAGTAGGTAAACATTTTAGCTACCAAGTCATCTCCCTAGACTACTTGGTTTTTTGTTTGTTTTGTTTTGTTTTTAGACAGCATCTCCTGTAGCCCAGCCTGGCTTTGAACTCCTGTACCCTCCTGCCTCCACCCCCAGGTTGCTGACATTGCAGACATGTGTCACGACACCCAGATGACCGTGGAATCTTCATAATCAGGAAACTGAATTCCACTCTGCATCATCTCAGGCAGAAAAGGGCTGAACATGGGCACAGGACAGAAGAGGCCTCCCATTCTGGGCTCAGACAGTGGGATATCCATGGAAACAACACTCTGCAGGCCACAGTGCTCCCCCTGAAGCATTTCAACCACAGTCATCTGGGGGTCACTGCTACTCAAGGCTCAACCTTAGAATACTGTCTCAGAAAACTGCACCAAAGTGCCTCCCGCTTTTGCCTTGACAGTGGATTGAACCTGGGGCTTTGCCCATGCTATGCAAGGGCTCTACCACCGAGCCACAGGCCAAGTTCCCCTCCAACTGCTCCAACAACAGACACACCACAGTGAGTTGCACTCATTGTCCACCAGCCCTGAATCTAGTATTTAGGATTAGAGTTAGGACTTAAATGATAATGGGACCTGCACAGAGTCACACAGCATGGAGCAGGGGAGTCACAAACTTGTGTTTTTAGGGTGCTCCCTACAATTCAGCCAAGACAAGAGACAGTCCTCCATGAAAATTATGAAGATCTTAGGATATTATAACTTGATAAAGGGACAGGGGCTTGGAAGTGCGTGCTTTTGAACAGCCCAGGGACACTGGGAGCTCTAAGGTGTCCTAGGACCAATGGATGCTGAGGGCATGGAGGTTAGTCTCCATCATCAACTTAATTAGATTCAGGATCACCTGGGCGACACATCTCCAAAGGGTTTTTCCAGAGAGGTTCAACAGGGGAAGGGAAGATGGTGTGGGATGCGGGTGGAGTCATCCATGGGCTAGGGGCCAGGACCAAATGCCAGCATCCGCTTCTCTGCTTCCTGACTATGGACCAACACCTCACAGTCTCACCGCCTCTCCTTCCTCACCACGTGGACTGTATGTGAGCCAGAACAAACCCGCATTCCTCAAATGGTCTTCATGAGGCATTTTGTCATAGGAAAGAGAAAAGTGGCTAATACAGACGTTGCTGTATGGGGACTCACCTGGCACCTCTGGGGATGAATTGAGGATCATGAAAGCATCTGACAGGCCAGCCTTGACAGGGTGCTGGGCAGAGCTGATTTCCAGAACAGCCATAGGGATCTGCAGCAGGGAAAGAGGCACCTGCCATCCACCCAGAACCTTCTGTGGCCACGAAGTCCCCACTCAGAGCTCCACACCCAGCTGTCTGCTCAGGACTTAAACATCCAGAACCGTATTCTAGGAAACCCGCAACTCCTCCCACATAGACCCTCTAGCTTCACACAGGCCGGAAGCCGCCCTCAGCCTCTCCCCTTCTTTTCTCTCCTCCCCCCTCTTCTCATCCATCTCCAAATACTGAGTTAATGCAGTGGTTCTTACATCTTTATGGTTCTCTCATCTCCCTTCTCCCAGCATTCCCTTAGTCTCCAATAGTCTGTCCCCCACTCTGGAGAGAGAGTGGCTTTTTCCAAAGGTGCGTCTGCTGTTCCCCTGTCCCATCCTGTCCCCCACTCTCCACTCCAGAAAAACCACATTCTTCTAGTGCTTTGTATAAGCCATACTCTGTCCTGCCACAGGACATGCCACTCTCTCTTCCTCGATGCCCTTGTGTGGTTTGAAAGAAAATGACCCCCAAAGGGAAAGCACGATCAGGAGGTGTGGCCTTCTTGGAGTGGGTGTGGTGCTGTTGGAGGAAGTGTGTCACTGTGGAGGCGGGCTTTGAGGGCTCATACTTGCTCAAGCCACGCTCAGTGAGGCAGACCACTTCCTGTTGCCTGTGAGTCAAGATATAAAAACTCCCAGTTATCTCTCCAGCACCATGTCTGCCTGTCTCCTTGTCATGACGTGATGATAACAGACTGAACCTCTGAACTGTAAGCCACCACAATTAAATTTTTTCCTTTATAAGAGTTGCTGTGGCCGTGGGGTCTCTTCACAGCAGTAGAGATCCTAAAACAGCACTTCGTTCTCATTCTTTTCTTACAGACTTTCTGGATAAACGAGGGGCTCTAGAGCTCGCTTACCTCTTTGTAGCCGAAGACAATGCGGCCATCTTGGTAAAGGGCTGCTTGGAAGGTGAAGCTGCCCCTGTCCTCCCGGCCCTGGAGGTAAACATGGTCCCACTGAACCACAAAGACTGTCCCTGGGGAGAAGGACAGACACCTGGCTGAAGAGGGAGATAGGGCAGAGGGACCCAGCAGTCATGGTGGGCAGAGATGGGGGCCATTTGTGAATTTGAGAAGCAGGAACTTGGCAGCCCACACCACCACCCTGGCTTCTGAGCTACAGAGGCCCCCAAAGATCTTATCTATGTCCGGGACCCCAAGTTGCTCATCTCTTACTCTGTGTGTGTGTGTGTGTACCCCTTCTTTCTTGCCTATCCTGACCCCTGGAGACAGAAGGAAACATGGGAATGTCTGTTCCTAAGGGGGTGGGGCTGATAAGAATGAGAAGGACTGGAGGTTCCCGAGAAAATACTCATGTCTTCACCTGGCTCAGTAATGCTAGGCAGTGGTGCCTCGGTGCCCTTCTTACAGGGGAGAAAACAGCACAGGGTAGGAGGGAAAGATGGCTGTCTGCCTGTAACTGTGGATCTAGGGCTCCCATGAAGGGGTTAGGCCAGGACCTCCCCCCCCCCAGTGCTAGGTGAACCGTACTCTGAGATCGGACCTCACCATTGTCGAAGTAAGCAACTGTGGAGTTGTCAGAGTAGCCAGGGTTGAAGTTGGCCATCAGGGGCGCCACATACTGAGTAGCTGTGAGCATCCGGTGGAGCACATCACCCACAAAGATGAAGCCTAAGGAAGGGAGAGAGGTTTAGAGGTGTCACTGGAACTGGCTCAAGGGGCTCCCCCTAGGGTCCCCCACACCCACTGGCAGGGGCTAAAAGTGAGTCTTGTGGCCTCATCCCGCACCCCCCCCCCAGTGGGCTCTGGACTTGGTGAAATAGAAAAATGGCCCAGACTAGAGAATTCTTGTTCCTGTCTCCGGGTAGAAAAAGGAAGAGGAAGTAGCCCCCATCTTCCCCAGTTTCAGGGGAAGCAGGAAATAGAATGAAAGTGACAGGAATCAAAGAAACACCTCATATCAACAGGGACCCTGTTCCTTGCTTCCTTGGGCTCAGACTCAGAAATGGAGAGCCTAGAGCTGTGCACACTGACGGTGTTGGTCCAGCAGGATAGACCCATGCACACACATGCATGCACACACAGATGTCACCTGATTTGAGTGGGACATTCAAGACATTCCCTGACTGCCTCCCTAGCCCACCTATCCTCCTGGCTCCAGTGAGTCCCTCAACAGCCTCTCTGAGTCATGCTGAGACCTCCAAGTCCTCCCCCAACCTCACTGGTTTTTCCTTACCTCCAGTTGCTATGGTGATCTGCCGCAGAGGATGCCCGTAGAAAGGGAAATCAAAGGACAAGACCACTCTCTGCAGGGACAGGAGAGAGTCCCCATGGGTGGAGCTGCCAGCCAAACACTGGCCACCCTCTCTGCTCCAGACTTGCCTAAACAATGGGTACAAGCACATCCAGGGTAGGCCCCCTGGGACTACAACTGGGTACCCGCACTATGCGTCCTCTGACTGTACCTACCCCCAGGTCACAAACCTCAGGCCATAATCATGCCTACTTCCAGGCAGCCACTGTTGGCCTAGCCACCAGCCTCCCAGCGCAGGCTGTCCTGCTAGGCCTAGGCACTCACTGAAGCCTGTCGGTGAGAGCTTGAGAGGATCCTGTGGACCTTCACGTGGCTCTGGTTGGCCATGGCCATGTCTACCCACAGATCCCGGCTGCGACGCTCACCAGGGCCGTAGACTCGGGACACATAGTAGTTGTGGTTGTCCTCCTGCAGGGACAGAAACAGAACCTGTAGGAGGTGTGATGAGCCAGGCAAGCTGGTCACCAGCTCTGTCCTTCTCTACCTAGACTTTCCCAGGTCCTCCTGGCCCAGAGCACTGGACCCACTGGGAGCTCCTGGAACACCCCTGAAGAGCACGGTCCGGTGTCATTCCTCAACAGGTCTGGTCCACACTAGCTCCATTTGGGTTCAGCTCTGTCCTGCCCAGACAAGCAATTCCTGTAACCCCGAATGTTTCAGAGCATAACAAAGACCAAGTTCAGCATTGGGGACACGATGGGGAAACCCCAGATAAAGCTTTTGTCTGAAAGGAGTGCACCTGGACCGCAGGGGACACAGTCTCTGACCTGCACTAAGAAAAAAGTGAAAAACCAAACAAACCTATAACTACTCAGTCTTAGACATCTAAGGGAGAAGGCAGTCGCTGATCTTGGGGAGTTGCTAGTCTGTTGGAGGAGACAGGACTCAGGCAATGGGACACTCTGACGCGGGCAGCAGCACTCTCACTGCGGTCACCAGATGGATTGAAAGAAGAGAGAAGCAAGGAGTTCCTCAAGAGACAATTCTGCATCTCCCTATGTGGCTGGTGGGGATACCACAGCGGGCTGGGTTCATTCCACAGTCTCCCTCGGGGGAGCATCTGGGGTCAGGGCTTGCAGGAGACCAGGGAAGTGGCTGGCAGAAAGAATGGGAAAACCAATGAGCTGGGCTGTATCTCAGCTTCCTGGAGCTGGACCAGAACACCTCACAGAAAGCTTAGTGGCAGCAGCAGGGAGGTCAGAGGTGCCCAAGGCTGCCCCAGGTACTGTGGTGCCCTGCATCCTGGATCATTAATCAGTCTGCAGACACAACAGAACAAACCATGTTCTTCCTGGAGAACTGCCAACTGCCCAGCCAGCCCCTGGCCTGAGCCCAGTGGGAGCAGGGAGCTGGGTCCCCGGCCATTGCATGCCTCCTGCAGAGAAGCAGACCACGATTCTGACAAGCCACACCCTCTGAACACATTTTGGAGACTCAGGGTTCGGATGGGCTTAGAGAGATAAGTAAAGGAACATGGGGGGGCGGAGGGTTGGTTCTGCTGGGACCACCTGCAACTTGTCTCTACATTCCCGTTTCAAACAAAATAGTAGTTTAATAAAAGCCAGCTTTGGGTTGGAGTGATGGCTCATTCTTAACTAGGAGTGTTTGCTGCTCCTGCAGAAGACCAGAGTTCCGTTCCCAACACCCACACTTCAGGGCTCCCAACTGCCTATCACTCCAGCTCCAGGGGATCTTGTCTCTGTGAAAAAAGGAAATCAAGTTTAGATGCAAGTCTTGCTGTGTATGTGAGGACCACGCCCAGCTGCATATGTGTTTTTTAGGGTTCCCAGACCCCATCCAAGAACATCTGCTTCATCTCAGGCTACACCTGCTATGTTCTCCAACCTGGTGCTTCCTCAACCAGACTGAATGGAATGGGTGGTTGAAGGCAGGTTTAAAGGAGTCCACAAAACCAGATAAATGATTGACAGGTATTTATCAGGGGACAACACTACACGATGATGGTAAGTAACTGCCAGTCTTCTGACTCCTGAAGATGCAGTCTCTGCTCTTCTGGATGCTCCACCACAACCCAAGAGATCAAGCCCCTCTTCTTCCTTATGAGGAGTCAAGTCCACACACCTAGGATACGGCCACCACCCCAAGTCCACTGGTGGAACAAGATGCCACAAGAGGTGGCCACATAATTCAACACACACACACACACACACACACACACACACACACACACACACAGTGCAATGGAAGCTTGTCGTCTTCATCTATTGCTTCTGCTGTCTAAACCAACTCCATCCTTCCTTCCAGAGGGAGAGTAAAACTGAATGAGTGAGAGGCTAGGGGCTGAAGAGGTGAGCTAAAACTGCCACCTTGCCTTGTCCACAGGAGACACTGGTCCCCAGGAAGGAGAAGGAACAGCTCCTTGCTTCTTGCTCCAACTATGAAGAGTGGAAATGAGGCAGGGACTGAGGTGCCCGGAGAGACAGGCTAAGCAGCTCTTGTTCCCACACTGTCTAGACCTTCTCTGTGACACTTCTAAGATGGTTGCTGGAAACTGAGGGGACCTTACATGGAACAGTCATCTCTATGGGGTGGCTGGAAGAACTTCCAGGAAGACTCCAGGCAGCTCTTCATTAAACAGCACAATCTGAACAGCAAGAGAGAAGCAGCAAACCAAGTCTCTGGGCAGCTGTTCCCTGGCCACCATGTTTGTTTGTTTTTTCTTTTCTTTTGTTTTGTTTTTTGAGACAGAGTTTTTTTTTGTGGCTTTGGAGGCTGTCCTGGAACTAGCTCTTGTAGACAAGGCTGGGCTAGAACTCACAGAGATCCACCTGCCTCTGCCTCCCGAGTGCTGGGATTAAAGGCATGCACCACCAACGCCTGACTTTGTTTTTTTCTTACACAAGTCAACTACAGCTGGTTTCTTGACTGAACACTACAGCAGAGTCCCATAGCTTGGAATGAACCTTGGGGACACTTCTTGGTTGTCACTATAAGCCCCCAATCATGTTTCCACCTATCCCAGTAGTTCTGGTCCAGGATGTCCACTAATGGCCTGGAAGTAACCACTGTCTCCATCTTACTGCAGCAGCAGACCTTCCACTTTATCAAGGTATGGGCCACCTAGCCTGACTGGATCTCCCTAGTCCTCCCAGCCACATGGCTATGTATGACCAATGGGAGATTAGCAGAATTATGTGCCCTCCCCTCCTCCCACCCTGAGCCAAAATGGGATGCAGATGTGCAGGTGTGGTGGCTAGAACGGAGACAGCCATCTTAGGTTACAAACGTGAAAGGCACGTTTGCACAGTGCAGAGCAACAGGACAGAAGGGAACTTCCTACATCACGGAGACTCTTTAGCAGCCCTTGCTCATACTCTTCCCTTGGAGAGAAGAGATTTATTGTGTGTCTTAAGGCCCAGTCACGCAGGCATTTGCTACAAGGGCAGAAAGTGTGCACTCTAATTAATACAAAAGCAGCGCACAGTGATGTATGTTTGAGATCCCAGTGCTTGGGAGGCAAAGGCAGGAGGATCAGGAGCTCAAGACCATCCCTGGCTACATTGCAAGTCTGAGGACAGCCTGGGTTGCATGAGACTCTATCTCCAATAAATAGATGAATAAAAACAGAGAAAAGGGGGGTGTGGGGAAGCAAGCCCTAGTTGAGCTCTCCTGCCAGTTAACACCATACGATGTACAGTTAATCCATGTACAAGGTATCGATACTGTGTGTGTCTTATTCATGATGCACAGGCCAAGGGACTCACCATCCGCAGACCATCACTGCATACAGCCTGCTGTTTGTCACCCCAGAGGATGGTCTCTAGGTGCTGGAGCAATACTGGTTTGGCATTTCAAAGAGGAAGTCTAGTGAAGGAGTATCTGTGACATGTCACAAAGCCCTGGTCAATAATCTTCCTGTTTCACAGGCAATGGGGTGAGCTCAGACCCTTTTTCTTTCTTTCTTGGCAGTTCAGCACCTACATCAAATCACAGCCAAGCCACTCTGTACCTTCTGGAGCCTTCTCCAGCACCCTCCATCCCATAGCAGACCATGGGCCATCTCCAGGAACTCTTAAGGTTCCATGAGGCATCATTTGAAAAACCACTGCTTCAGGATCAAGTGTGCAGGCTTTGGTGTCAGCCTGATCCAAGTTTGATACCCAGACATAACAATGGTTAATGATGATCTCTTCTCTCTGGTACAGTCCCTTCTTCAATGCAGCAGTCTGGGAAGGATTCCCTGGAACAGGACAGCCGAAAGCTCTTGGCCCGGTGCCCACAGCAGGTGTCCTGTAAGTGCTAGCTCTTAGATGATTTTGTTGGGCCTTTCCACGAAAAGTCTTGACATCCCCAGACTCCGTCATAGTTCACACAGCAAGGGCTCTTCTCTCTCCATCACTCATGCTGCCCTGAGACCCTCCAGGCACTTCACTATGATGGTGACACTGCATTTACTTTGGCTGAGCTGAAGATGTTTCTGGAAAGGAACTCCAGCTAAGCTGTCACAATCATCCCATCACCTGCCAGCCAGCTGGCTGGTTAGGATGCTGGGCAAGCCACCAAGGGCACTGCAGGGCTGGCAGGAGAGCTTGGCTAGCCAGGCTTGTCAGGATAGCACTGAGGCAGCTGGAGCCAACCAAGGAAGTACGGCTGAGAAGGGGACTTTCCGTCACCCCAGTCCATGAGGGTTTACAAAGCCACCCACTGGGAAGGTGTTCTAGATCCCAGCTACTCAAAATGATCTGGGGTCATCTGAAATACAGAGTTCTGGGCCGGGTGTAACAGTCACACCTTCAATCCCCACACTGGGGAGGCTGAGGCAGGAGGATCTCTGTGAGTTCGAGGCCAGCCTGGTCTACATATTAAGCTCCAGGACAGGCTCCAAAGCTACAAAGAAAACCTGTCTCAAAAAACAAAAACAAAAACAAAACAAAAGAAAAAAGCCAGGTGTGGGGACTCATTGTGTAATCTTAGTACTTGGAAAACTGAGGCAGAGGGATTGCTACCAGTCAAAGGCCAGCCTAAGCTACAGAGTGAGTTCCAGGCCATACAGAGCTAAAAAGGGGTTAAAAACCCTTAAATAAACAAGAAAAGAAAGGAGGAACAGAGAGGGGAGGGAGGGAGGGAGCGGAGGGAGGGAGGGAGGAAGGGGAGGGAGGGAGGAAGGGGAGGGAGGGAGGGAGGGGAGGGAGGGAGGAAGGGGAGGGACAAGGGGAGGGGAAGAGAAGACAATGTTCCTGGCCAACCCTAAGCCTGCAGATCAGAGCTAATATCTGCATAAGAATAATTTGAAAATTTGCAGAGAAAATTTTAAAAATTAAAAGTGCAGGTTTAAAAACATAAAAAGGGTTTTCCCTACACCATTCATCCTAAAGGAGTTGGAGGCTGAGCTAGACTGTGGGCTCTGCCACTCATTTGATGTGTGACCGTGGGCAGGTGACTTCAGC